GGGGAAAAATAGCCATTTGGGTGAGAAAACAGCTATTCTGGCATTCTGGGGGAGAAAATAAAGACATTTTTGTGGGGAGAAAACCAAACCAACCCCATACCCCCCAAAAAAAAACACATTTTAAGAGAAAACTTTTGGGGTGGGAGCAGTAATAGTGAAATAAAAGTTATTTTGAGGGGAAAAGTGGAATTTTTGAGGGGAAAAGAGAGGTTTTGGGGTAGGACCCATGAGTACAGGGGGAGAGAATCCCATTCCAGGGAAAGTACTCTCCTTGCTATGGAAGAAAGGCAAACCTGAAGGAAAAAAAACAGGCCATTTTGGGAGAAAAACAGGCACTTTGAGGCAAAATCTACAGCTCTGGTCGGGAATGGGACAGTCTGGGGGAAAAAAATGGTGTTTTGGGGGAAAAACCTGACTTTGAGGGGAAAAGGGATGCATTGAGGGAAAACTGCTGGTTTGGGGGGGGGGAAATGACATTTCTAAGGGGAAAAATGCTGCTTTGAGGGGAAAACGGATGGTCTGAGGGGAAAAACTGATGGATTTTGGGGTAAAATGATGCTGTAAGAGGAAAAATGTACCGGGGGGGGGTTGGGGGTGATACCTTGAGGGAAAACCTCTGCTCTGGGGGAAAATCAGTGCCTCCAGTCTCTGTTTTGGGCTGAAAAGGGGCCATTTAGGGAAAAACCGACCCTCCCAGCCCCTCCTCCTGAGGAACCCACCCCCCTCGGTGTGTGTGTGTGGGGGGGGAGGGGTTAAATCCATCATTTTGGGGCAAAACCCCCCGATTTCCGAGCTTCCCACCCCGCTCCCCTCTTATACCCCTCTCTTACACCACCCGCTTTTGGGGACAAAACGCCTCTTTTCGGGGCATATCCCCGCCTCCCCCCCTTTTGGGCCCGATCCTCCTCGTTTCGCCCCCTACCCCCACCCCGTTTTGGGTCAAAAAAACCCCGTTTTGGGTCCATCCTCCCGCCCTTTCCCCCCCGTTACCTGACGGGAAAAGGGGGGGGGGGGAAGGGGGGGCGCGCCCTCCACCACCGCCGCGTGACGTGCCGAGGCCACGCCCCTCCCGCTCTGCCGCAGGGGCGTGGCCAACGGGAGGCGGTGCCGGGGTTGGAGCCTGAGCGCTGATTGGGTGGGGGCGCTGGGGGCGTGGCTACGCGAAGGAGGCGATGTGCGGTCCTAATGCCCCCCCCCCCCCCCCCCCCCTCCTCCCTTTCAAGACCCGGAGCCGAATGAGTCCCATGGGGTTTATTCCGCGATCACCGGGGCCCGTCCCTTCCGTTAAAGGAGAGGCCGCGCCCGCTGTGTGGGCAGGACTCCGAACCGCCGCTTCAACGCCAGGCGGTGCCGGGAGAACTTGTCGTCGGGGGAGAACCGAGCCGGGTGGGCCGAGCGGGTGGGCTGCCCCGCCGGGGACACTTTCTGCGGGAAGGAAGGAAGGGAAAGGGGTGAGGCCGAGCCGTACCGGGACCCCCGGAGCCTCCCCGGTCTCCCCTCCCCGGTACCTTCAGTGTGTAAACGCGCTCCCCGCGCTCATCGGTGTAGCACTGCAGGAACATGGCGCCGCTGCCTTCGCCGCGCAGAGCGCGATGGGAAAGAGGGGGGCTCGCGCGGGGCACCACGGGAAGGGAGGCGCTGGGAGTGATGGGAAATGTAGTCCAGGAGAGCACAGAGTGCGGAAGTGGCTTTAGCGATGGCCAAGATGGCGGCGCCCTTCCCCAAGATGGCGGCGCCCATGCGGGACACGCCCCAGTCACCATGGCTCCCATCGCTGCTTCGCCCCTCCCTTCCCCTCCACCACGTGACCACGTTCTCATTGGCACTAGGCTGAACGGCTGCATCCCTATTGGCCCCCGCGGCGTCCCGCTCCCTGATTGGCGGCGGTGCTTCACGTGACGAGCGGCGGTGAGGAGCGGAGCGGCCGCCGTACGAAGGTACGGGTCGGGGAGGGGTGGTCCCGCGTTACCGGAACAACGGGGGGCGGGGCTACCGAGGAACCGGAGAACTTCCGGGGCAACCGGAGGAGCTCCCGGGACGGATCCGTGTCTCCCGGTTGGGGTCCCGGTGTGTTTCCGGTGCCACCGTGTCCCGTCCCCCCCCCCCGCAGGCCGAGGCGATGCCGCTGCCCGTGGCGCTGCAGTCCCGCCTGGCCAAGCGCGGCCTGCTCAAGCACGTGGAGCCCGGTAAGAACCGGGGGGAAACCGGGGAAGGGGGCGTGGCCAGGCCGGCGGGAGGCGGAGCTGGAGTTGTCTAGGGGAGGGGCTATGACCATATAAAGGGGGCTGATGGGCGTGGCTATGTCTCGGCGGGGGCTGGGGGCGGTGCTGTGACCGTAGAAGGGTTGCGGTGGTGGGCGGGGCTATGACCATAGAAGGGTTGCAGTGGTGGGCGGGGCTATGACCATAGAAGGATTGCCATAGTGGGCGGGGCTATGACCATGAAGGGTTGCGGCGGTGGGCGGGTCTATGTCCATAGAAGGGTTGCAGTGGTGGGCGGGGCTATGACCATAGAAGGGTTGCAGTGGTGGGCGGGGCTATGACCATAGAAGGATTGCCATAGTGGGCGGGGCTATGACCATAGAAGGGTTGCGGTGGTGGGCGGGGCTATGACCACAGAAATGTTGCGGTGGTGGGCGGGGCTATGGCCATAGAAGGGTTGCCATAGTGAGCGGGGCTATGACCATGAAGGGTTGCGGTGGTGGGCGGGGCTATGATCATAGAAGGGTTGCCGTCGTGGGCGGGGCTGTGACCATAGAAGGGTTGCAGTGGTGGGCGGGGCTATGACCATAGAAGGGTGCCTTTGGTGGGCGTGGCCATGCCTCAAGCTCCGCCCACCCGCAGAGCCGGAGGAGGAGATCATCGCCGAGGACTACGACGACGCGCACGTGGATTACGAGGCCTCGCGGCTGGAGGGGCTGCCCCCCCCTTGGTACAAGGTCATCGACCCGACCTGGTGAGACCCCCCCCCCCCGGAGCCCCCCACCCTCCCGTGGGGTTATTGGGGCCATAGGGACGCTCTCCAGGGGTTATAGGGGCCATAGGGACGCTCTCCAGGGGTTATAGGGGCCATAGGGACACTCTCCAGGGGTTATAGGGAACATACCCTCTCCAGGGGGGGCCATAGGGACGCTCTCCAGGGGGGGCAGGGGCTATAGGGGCCATAGGGACGCTCTCCAGGGGCTATAGGGAACATAGGGACACTCTCCAGGGGTTATAGGGAACATAGGGACGCTCTCCAGGGGCTATAGGGGCCATAGGGACACTCTCCAGGGGCTATAGGGAACATAGGGACCCTCTCCAGGGGTTATAGGGGCCATAGGGACGCTCTCCAGGGGTTATAGGGGCCATAGGGACGCTCTCCAGGGGTTATAGGGGTCATAGGGACACTCTCCAGGGGTTATAGGGGCCATAGGGACACTCTCCAGGGGTTATTGGGGCCATAGGGACGCTCTCCAGGGGCTATAGGGGTCATAGGGACACTCTCCAAGGGCTATAGGGAACATAGGGACCCTCTCCAGGGGTTATAGGGGCCATAGGGACGCTCTCCAGGGGCTATGGGGAACATAGGGACCCTCTCCAGGGGTTATAGGGGCCATAGGGACGCTCTCCAGGGGTTATAGGGAACATAGGGACACTCTCCAGGGGCTATAGGGAACATAGGGACCCTCTCCAGGGGTTATAGGGGCCATAGGGACACTCTCCAGGGGTTATAGGGGCCACAGGGACACTCTCCAGGGGTTATAGGGGCCATAGGGACACTCTCCAGGGGTTATAGGGGCCATAGGGACGCTCTCCAGGTGTTATAGGGGCCATAGGGACACTCTCCAGGGGTTATAGGGGCCATAGGGACACTCTCCAGGGGTTATAGGGGCCATAGGGACACTCTCCAGGGGTTATAGGGGCCATAGGGACCCTCTCCAGGGGCTATAGGGAACATAGGGACGCTCTCCAGGGGTTATAGGGGCCTCCAGGGACGCTCTCCAGGGGCTATAGGGAACATAGGGACACTCTCCAGGGGCTATAGGGAACATAGGGACCCTCTCCAGGGGTTATAGGGGCCATAGGGACACTTTCCAGGGTTTATAGGGGCCACAGGGACACTCTCCAGGGGTTATAGGGGCCATAGGGACACTCTCCAGGGGTTATAGGGGCCATAGGGACGCTCTCCAGGGGTTATAGGGGCCATAGGGACGCTCTCCAGGGGTTATAGGGGCCATAGGGACACTCTCCAGGGGTTATAGGGGCCATAGGGACACTCTCCAGGGGCTATAGGGAACATAGGGACGCTCTCCAGGGGCTATAGGGAACATAGGGACACTCTCCAGGGGCTATAGGGAACATAGGGACCCTCTCCAGGGGTTATAGGGAACACAGGGACACTCTCCAGGGGTTATAGGGGCCATAGGGACGCTCTCCAGGGGTTATAGGGGCCATAGGGATGCTCTCCAGGGGCTATAGGGAACATAGGGACCCTCTCCAGGGGTTATAGGGGCCATAGGGATGCTCTCCAGGGGCTATAGGGAACATAGGGACGCTCTCCAGGGGTTATAGGGGCCATAGGGATGCTCTCCAGGGGCTATAGGGAACATAGGGACGCTCTCCAGGGGTTATAGGGGCCATAGGGACGCTCTCCAGGGGTTATAGGAGCCATAGGGACCCTCTCCAGGGGTTATAGGGGCTATAAGGCCCTTCTCCAGGGGCTATAGGGACCCTTTCCAGGGGCTATAGGGGCCATAGGAACCCTCTCCAGGGCTTATAGGTGCCATATTGAGCCTGTTCAGGGGTTATAGGGGCCATAGGGACCCTCTCCAAGGGTTATAGGAGGCATAGGGACCCTCTCCAGGGGCTGTAGGGGCTATAGGAACCCTCTCCAGGGCTTATAGGGGCCATATTGAGCCAGTTCAGGGATTATAGGGGCCATAGGGACCCTCTCTAGGGGCTATAGGGATCCTCTCCAGGCATTATAGGGGCTATAATGACCTTCTCCGGGGGCTATAGGGCTCTTTCCAGGTCCTATAGGGACCATAATGACCCTCTCCAGGGGTTATAGGGGCCACAGGAACCCTCTCCAGGGCTTATAGGGGCCATAGTGACCCTGTTCAGGGGTTATAGGGGCTATAAGGACCGTCTCCAGGGGTTATAGGGGCCATAGGGACCCTCTCCAAGGGTTATAGGAGCCATAGTGACCCTGTTCAGGGGTTATAGGGGCTATAAGGACCGTCTCCAGGGGTTATAGGGGCCATAGAGACCCTCTCCAAGGGTTATAGGAGCCATAGGGACCCTCTCCAGGGGCTGTAGGGGCCATAGGAACCCTCTCCAGGGCTTATAGGGGCCATATTGAGCCTGTTCAGGGGTTATAGGGGCCATAGGAACCCTCTCCAGGGCTTATAGGGGCCATATTGAGCCTGTTCAGGGGTTATAGGAGCCATAGGGACCCTCTTCAGGGGCTGTAGGGGCTATAGGGGGTTATAGGGGCTATAAGGACCTTCTCCAGGGGCTATATGGACCTTTTCGAGGGACTATAGGGACCATAAGGACCCTCTCCAGGTTCTTTAGGGCCTATAAGGACCTTCTCCATGGGCTATAGGGCCCTTCCCAGGGGCTATAAGAGCCCGCTATAGGCTCCTGCCACCCACAGTGGGCTGCCCTACTACTGGAACGTGGAGACCGACCTCGTGTCCTGGTTGTCCCCAAACGACCCCAACTCCGTCATCACCAAAGCTGCCAAGAGGCTCAAAGGGGCCCAGGGTGAGTCAATGGGGGGGGGACACCCCCCAAAACCTCTGGGTTAGGGGGAGCAGGGAAGGTTTTGGGGGTGTCCCCCCTCCCCTTTCAGTCCTGCTTCCTCCCATTTTGGCTCCAGTAGAGGCTGAGGAACCCCCCGAGAGGGGCTACGAGAAGGAGGAGCCCCCCCGGGAGCGGCGCTTCCACCGGCGCGAGGAGCTGGCGCCGTACCCCAAGAGCAAGAAAGGTGAGTTTGGGGGTACCCCCCATCTGGGGGGGGGGCGGTGTCCCCATCACTTGGGGGGGTTCTTCTTCACTTGGGGGCTCCCCATTCATTTGGGAGGCTCCCCTCATTTTGGGGGAGTCCCCATTCAATTTGGGGGCTCCCCCTTCATTTGGGGTGGTTCTTTCACTTTGCGGAGTCCCCCTCATTTAGGGGGGGTCCCCATTCCCCTTGGGGGGCGTCTCCATCACTTTGGGGGTTTCCCCTTCACTTGGGGCTCCCCCTTGACTTGGGGGTGTCCCCCTCTACACTGGGGGTTCCCCCCTTCATTTGGTAATGTCCCCAACACTCTGGGGGCTCCTCCCTTCATTTGGGGGCTGCTGCCCCCCAAGTTTGCCCTACTCTGACCCCTATTTCCCCACCTCTCCCCCCCAAAAGGCAGCCGCAAGGACGAAGAACTGGACCCCATGGACCCCAGTGCCTACTCGGATGCCCCCAGGTAAGTCCTGGAGCCATGCAATGGGGTTGGGAAGGACCTGGAAGCTCCTCCAGTTCCAATCCACAGGGATCCCTCCCACTGGCACAGGTTGCTCCAAGCAACACTGCCAGGGATGGGGCATCCCAAACCTTCTCCATTCAACCCATCCCAGTATCCTCATGGGGATGAAATTCCTTAGATCCCAGGGAAATGTCCCCTGGTCCACGTCCCATCCCTCCAGTCCCTGATGGAGAATCCCCCTCCAGCATCCTCATACCCCCCCCCCCTTCAGACCCTGGAAGCTGCTCCGAGGTCTCCACGCAGCTTCTCTCCTCCAGCCTTCCCTCTGGATCCCATTCCCACCCTTTGGATCCCATCCCAACCACACTCAGTTCCTTTAGGGTTGGGTTTGTGATCCTCTTCCCCCCCCCATCACCAGGGGGACGTGGTCCACGGGGCTCCCCAAGAGGAACGAAGCCAAGACCGGGGCGGACACCACGGCCGCGGGGCCCCTGTTCCAGCAGCGCCCGTACCCGAGCCCCGGCGCCGTCCTCCGGGCCAATGCCGAGGCCTCCCGGAGCAAGGACTGATCCCAACCCCCCCGGGCCCCCCTGAAAACACCTCTGGGACCCCAAAAACACCTCTGGGACCCTCAAAAGCATCTCTGGGACCCTCAAAAACACCTCTGGGACCCCCCAAAACACCTCTGGGACCCCCAAAAACAACTCTAGGAACCCCCAAAACCATCTTTGGGACCCCAAAAACAACTCTGGGACCCCCAAAAACACCTATGGGACCCCAAAAACAACTCTGGGACCCCAAAAGCCACCTTTGGGAACCCCAAAAACCACCATTGGGACACCAAAACCATCTTTGGGACCCTAAAAACCACCTCTGGGACCCCAAAACCACCTCTGGGAACCCCAAAACCCACCTTTGGAGCCCCCAAACCACCTCTAGAACCCCCAAAATGCCTCTGGGAGGCCAGAAACACCGCTGGGAACCCCAAAAGCCACCTCTTGGACCCCAAAACCACCTTTGGGACCCCAAAAGCCACCTTTGGGACCCCAAAACCACTTTTGGGAAGCCCCAAAACCACCATTGGGGCCCCAAAAGCTACCTTTGGGACCCCAAAACCACCATTGGGACCCCAAAAGCCACCTTTGGGACCCCAAAACCGCCTTTGGGAACCCCCCAAACCACCCTTGGGATTCCCAAAACCACCCTTGGGATCCCCAAAACCATCTTTGGGACCCCCAAAACCACCTCTGGGACCCCAAAACCTCTCAGACACCCTCCCCCCCCCCCCCGGACCCCCTCAAATCACTGCCCTCAGTGGAATAAAGGTGCTGAAGACTCAAGGGGTGTGGAATAGGAAGGGGGGGGGATGTGGGGGGGGGTTTATTGGTGCACAAGGGTCCTGCTCGGGCCTTGGGGGGGGGGGGGGGGCAATGCCTCCCATTATAACCCAATGGCTCCAGACACCCCCCCCCCCCCCCCAAAACCCAGTAGCCAATGGCCCCACCCACACCGCGCCCCCCCCCGGGGGACTCTGACGTCATCGCGGCTGTGACTCACCCCAACCGCACCCCCCCCCCCCGCCCCACATCTGGATTCGCTCAACAGCTGGGGGGGGGGGGAGGGGGGGACCAACCCTCCCCCCCCTCCCCTCCCCCCCCCCCCCCAATGGAGCCGGGTGTGGAGGTTCAGCACCCGCTGTTTATTGCCCCTCCCCCACCCGGGGGGGGGGTAAGGGGGGGGGGGGAGGGGCAACAATCCCAGTTTGAGGGGGGTCTCTCCCAGTTTGCCCCCTCCCCCCCCCCATCACCCTGAGGCAGGGGGGGGTGCCCGGGGGAGCCCCCTCAGCCCCCCCAGTGCTCCCAGTAGCACCAGTGCGGCTCCCAGTGCCACCGGTAGCGCCAGCAGCAGCCCCCCCCCAAGGGCCCCGCGCCTGGGGGGGGGCCTGGTACTGGGGGGGGGAACTGGGGCAAGGGGGGGGGGCTTGGAGGGTTGGGGGGAGGGTGGGGGGGTTGTGAGGGGCGAATGGGGTTTATGGGGGGTATTGGGGGGGGGCTTGAGCCTGGGGAGGGCAACTGGGGGGGTAATTGGGGGGGTATCTGGGGTAGCAGGGGGGGCAACTGGGGGGGGAAGTGGGGTATCTGGGGGGGGAACTGAGGGGGTAACGGGGGTATCTGGGGGGGCATTGGGGGAGGTAACTGAGGGGGTAACCGGGGTATCTGGGGGGGCAACTGAGGGGGTAACTGGGGTATCGGGGGGGGTAACTGGGGGGGTAACTGGGGTATCAGGGGGGTTAACTGGGATAATGGGGGGGGAAACCGGGGAGTGCTTGGCTGTGGGGGGCAGAACTGGGGCCAACTGGGACGTAGTGGGGGCAACTGGAGGGTCCTGAGAGGTGGGGGGAGCACTTGGGGGTTCTCCAGTCCTGGGGGGGGCACCGGGGGGTTCCTGTGGGATGGACAGGGGGGTTTGGGGGTCCCTGTAGGGCACTGGGGGGGAACTGGCTCCATAGGGGTCCCAGGGATCAATGGGGGGGTCCCCAAGGCTATAGGGGTCTTTGGGGTCAGTGGGGGGGTCCCCAAAGCTATAGGGGTCCTTGGGGTCAGTGGGGGGGTCCCCAAGGCTATAGGGGTCCCTGAGGTCAGGTTGGGGGTCCCAGGGGTCCGTGTGGGGGTCTGGGGCTATTTGGGTGTCCCCAACCTCATAGGGGTCTTGGGGTCTATAGTGGTCCCTATGGGAGTCCCCATAGGGGTCCCAGGGGTGCGTGTGGGGATCTGGGGCTATTTGGGGGTCCCCAACCTCATAGGGGTCTTGGGGTCTATAGGGGTCCCTATGGGAGTCCCCATAGGGGTCCCAGGGCCTGGTTTGGGGATCCCTGCCCCTGCGGAGGCTCCCGGGCTCAGGGTCCTCATCCCCATAGGGCTCCAAGAGGGGGGGGCCCCCTTCAGGGTCCTCATCCCCATAGGGGTCCATATAGGGGTCCCCATAGATATCAGGGTCCCAGGGCTCCTCACCCCTATAGGGCAGGGCCGGGCCCGTGTAGGGGCCCCCATAGGACTCAGGGTCCCAGGGCTGCTCCTCGGGCTCCTCCAGGGCCGTGTAGGGGTCCCCGTAGGTGTCGGGGTCCTCATCCCCGTAGGGGGGGGCAGAGCCGGGATGGGGGGCACCGTACGTGGCAGGGGCCTGCGGGGAGCCCGGTGCCAGGTCCCTGTGGTGCAGATCCCGGTGCCAGGATGCTCCCGAATCCTCATCGCTGCCTTGGTGCAATTCCCGGTGCCTGCCCGGTGCCAGGTCCCCCAGTGCCTCCCGGTGCCGCGGTGTCGGGTCCTGGTCCCCGTCTTGGTGCAAATCCCGGTGCAATTCCCGGTGCCTGCCCGGTGCCAGGTCCCCATGGTGCAGATCCCGGTGCCAGGATGCTCCTGTATCCTCATCACTGCCTTGGTGCAAGCCCTGGTACCTGCTCGGTGCCAGGTCCCGGTGGTTCAAACCCCGGTGCCAGGATGCTCCTGTATCCTCATTGCTGCCTTGGTGCAATTCCCGGTGCCTGCCCGGTGCCAGGTCCCCATGGTGCAGATCCCGGTGCCAGGATGCTCCTGAATCCTCATTGCTGCCTTGGTGCAAGCCCTGGTACCTCCTTGATGCCAGGTCCCTATGGTGCCAGGATGCTCCTGTATCCTCATCACCACCTTGCTGCAATTCCCGGTGCCTGCCTGGTGCCAGATCCCGGTGCTGCAGATCCCGGTGCCAGGATGCTCCTGTATCCTCATCACCACCTTGGTGCAAGCCCTGGTACCTCCTTGATGCCAGGTCCCCATGGTGCCAGGATGCTCCTGTATCCTCATCACCACCTTGCTGCAATTCCCGGTGCCTGCCCGGTGCCAGGTCCCCATGGTGCAGATCCCGGTGCCAGGATGCTCCTGTATCCTCATCACCCCCTTGCTGCAATTCCCGGTGCCTGGCCGGTGCCAGGTCCCCATGGTGCAGATCCCGGTGCCAGGATGCTTCTGAATCCTCATTGCTGCCTTGGTGTAAGCCCTGGTACCTGCTCGGTGCCAGGTCCCGGTGGTTCAAACCCCTGTGCCAGGATGCTCCTGTATCCTCATTGCTGCCTTGGTGCAATTCCCGGTGCCTGCCCGGTGCCAGGTCCCCATGGTGCAGATCCCGGTGCCAGGATGCTCCTGTATCCTCATCACCGCCTTGCTGCAATTCCCGGTGCCTGCCCGGTGCCAGATCCCGGTGCTTCAGATCCCGGTGCCAGGATGCTCCTGTATCCTCATCACCACCTTGGTGCAAGCCCTGGTACCTGCTCGATGCCAGGTCCCTATGGTGCCAGGATGCTCCTGTATCCTCATCACCACCTTGCTGCAATTCCCGGTGCCTGCCCGGTGCCAGATCCCGGTGCTTCAGATCCCGGTGCCAGGATGCTCCCGCATCCCCCTCACCTCCTTGCTGCGGATCCTCCTCCGCTCCCCTTGATGCCAACTCCCCGTGGTTCCAAGGCTCTCCCGTCTCCCCTTCTCCGTTCAATCCCCGTTGCCTCCCACCCCGTGGCTTCTTCCTACCGTGCCTCCAGCCCCTCTTAGCTCCGTGGGGCGGGCGGCGGCGGCGGCGGCAGGCGGCCCCGTCGGGCTGCAGCACGTACCCGGGGTGGCAATGACAGGCGAAGCCCCCCTCGTGGTTCAGGCACATGTGGTGGCACACGGCTGCCGTGCGGCACTCGTCCGTGTCCCCGCAGGCCCCAGCGGCTCCCGGCACCGGTCCGAACCCCAACGGACACGGAGGGGACACCGGGGACACCCCCGACGTCACCCCCGCCGCTACCAGCGCCACCAACGCCAGCATCGCTCCGGTCGCGTTGTGCCGGGGATGGGGGGGACGGGACGGGACGGGACGGGGGCCAAGGGCGGTGCTGGAGCTGGGACAACCCCTCCCAGTGCTCCCAGGGCTCTCTCCAAGCTGGGAACACCCTGACCTTGCCCATAACTTGTGGGGTCACCCCCCAAGTGCTGCGGGTGGGATTTGGGGGTCTGGAGGGGGAGGAAGCAGCTGTGTGTGGGGGGGGTGCTGACCCCCAAGTGCTGCGGGTGGGATTTGGGGGGTTGGAGGGGGAGGAAGCAGCTGGGGGGGGGGTGGGGGTGCTGACCCCCAAGTGCTGCGGGTGGGATTTGGGGGCAGCTGGGTGGGATCTGGGGGGGTTGGAGGGGGAGGAAGCAGCTGTGGGGGGGGGGGGTGCTGCCCCCCAAGTGCTGCGGGTGGGATTTGGGGGGTTGGAGGGGGAGGAAGCAGCCCTGTGTGTGTGTGTGTGTGTGTGTGTGCTGCCCCCCAAGTGCTGCGGGTGGGATTTGGGGGGTGTGTGAGGGGGAGGAAGCAGCTGGGGGGGGGGGGGGTGCTGACCCCCAAGTGCTGCGGGTGGGATTTGGGGGGAGCTGGGTGGGATCTGGGGGGGTTGGAGGGGGAGGAAGCAGCTCTGTGTGTGTGTGTGTGTGCTGCCCCCCAAGTGCTGCGGGTGGGATCTGGGGGAAGCTGGGTGGGATTTCGGGGGGGTTGGAGGGGGAGGAAGCAGCTGGGGGGGGGGGGGGGTGCTGACCCCCAAGTGCTGCGGGTGGAAT